CTAGACCCCGATGTCCCGGCGCCCAAGCCGGAGGATTCCCCTAGTGAGCCGTGGCGGCAGCTTAGCTGCTTAATTTTAAATCGACCCAAGACTTTTCTTCCACATGCCTGTTCAGACTAAGCAGGTAGACTATATTTCTCGCTGCCATTGGGATGTCTTATTTTCTCACTTCTTTGAGTCAAATGTATATTTTTTCTTGACAAAAAATTGAATGTTTATGGTTGCATTTTCTGGTGTTTTTTAAGAACTAATAAACCAGTATAGATTTTGCACTAAGTGAAAAAAGAGAGCCGGCGCCGTGGCTCAATAGGCTAATCCTCCACCTTGCGGCGCCGGCACACCGGGTTCTAGTCCCGGTTGGGGCGCCGGATTCTGTCCCGGTTGCCCCTCTTCCAGGCCAGCTCTCTGCTATGGCCAGGGAGTGCAGTGGAGGATGGCCCAGGTGCTTGGGCCCTGCACCCCATGGGAGACCAGGAAAAGCACCTGGCTCCTGGCTCCTGCCAGGATCAGCGCGGTGCGCCGGCTGCAGCGGCGGCCATTGGAGGGTGAACCAACGGCAAAGGAAGACCTTTCTCTCTCTGTCTCTCTCTCTCACTGTCCACTCTGCCTGTCAAAAGAAAACTAAGGAAAAAAAAGAAAGAAAAAAAGATTGATCAGTTGATTCCCCTTTGATCATCTGGGGCAAGCGTTTGGCACAACAGTTAAGTTATCACTTGGGATTCCCGCATCCCAAATCAGAGTGCCTCGGTTCTCATCCTGGCTCCACTTCCAATTCCAGCTTCCTGATAATGTGCCTCCTTGAGGGGCAGCAGGTGATGGTTTAAATAGTTGGGTCTCTGTCTCCCACTTAAGAAACTTGAAATGAGTTCTGGGCTCCTGACTCTGGCTTGACCCAGCCTCAGCTATTGCAGGCATTTGGGAAGTGATCCAGTAAATGGGTGGTTTCTCTCTGTGTCTCAAACAAATAAAAATAAAAATAATAAGTAATAAAGGCCCAAGAAAGTTGTTTTAAAAAGAAGATGGTCTTTTGTGCAGTGTCTGTGACCAACTGCTGCAGCCCTGTGCCCATCCGTGGTGAGTGATGTGCCTGGGGTGATGATGTGGGTGAGTCTCAGAGCCATGTCTTGCCCACCTGCCAATAGCAGCTGTCACTTCTGAGCACCCGCCACTGGAATGTTCCCCTCATTCTCATGCTCACGCTGACCTCACGGGGAGAGGCTGGGGTGGTCCCTGCTAGCGCCACACAGGGCTCAGCTGGCAGATTGTGTTCGGGGCCGCGTGCTCACACCCCACTTCGCCTCCAGCTCTCCTCTCATGCCTCCCCTTCACTCCCCAGCCTCCTCCTGGTCTCCTGAACACTCCAACACTCTTCTGCTGCTGAGCTTTTGGACTCCCTGTGCCCTCCAACTGAATGCCCTTGCTCCAGCTCCCTCTGTGGCTGGCTTCTGCAGGTCGCAACCTGAGGTCACTTCCGATGGGCTGTCCCTGGTCACTGCATCCCTACTTGTTACTGCCTTCATGCTCCGAGGCCACTTTCTTCACTTTCTTAGCCCTCTAGAACCTAGGCTTCTTGAGGGCATGCTTATCTGTCTAGGCTTGGAGCCTAGCTCAGGGCTCATGAATCTTTGCTGATTGACTTGATAATGAATGAGAGAGAATATGGATGAACAGCTGACTCTGTAGTCTGTAGTAGCAGATCAAGGGGAGATGGGAAGTTTCCTTGACCAACAGAGCAAACTCTAGACATGCAGTGCTAGCCAGGAAAGAGAAGGAGGGGTAGGGAAGGGTGGAGGCTCAGGATAAACAGGTTTGTTAGCCATTCATAAGGATCTGGACTCTGTGTTTGAGAAGAGATGATCCTTAGGGAGAGGCGGAGGGGGCTGTGGGGACACACCCTAGTCAGCCAAATGTCAGTGCTGTGCAGCACAAAGACGATTTTTGCACATACACCTTAAATGGCATTTTTGGCACTCAGTCCTTCCACCTTCTCTTTTTCTACTGGAAACTCGTCACATTTGTCCCATGTTTGTTTTGCCAAAGTAGTCTTCCCCCGAGGCAGTTAGCCATAGAAGGCATAATAGTGGACTTCATAGGTCAAGATGTTGATATTGGTGTAGCACAGATAGAGGTGGAACTACTTAGGACTCTGCATATACTTATCAGGTCGTGAGCTGGCTCCTCTACGACAGTATAGCTTCACAGGGACAAGGACCTTGTCTGCCTTGGCCTGTGTCCCCAACACTGAAAATATTTGATTTTGTATGGCTGCAGTCTGCAAGCCAAAGTCAATTCCCGATTTTCCCGAGTGCTGTATAGTGGTTGAGCACATGGGCTGCTGAAATGGTGGCTCGAGTTACGAGCTCAGCTCATTCACTTCAGTAACTGGGTGACTTAGACAATGACTATACTTTTTTGAACCTACATTTCTTCAAATGTAGAGTGAGATGATCCTAGCCCCTGCCATGTTATGTCATTGCAGAGGTTCCTCAACCAGGAGGCCAGCACTTAATCAGGGATCAATGTACAAGCATTGCAAGTACTGTTGTTAGAGTCTGGAGAGCCATCCCTTTGAATGCCTCTCTCTCTGCAGTCTGCAGAGGAGACTGCTCTGGAGTGGCTGGAGGAAACATGAGCCTCCAGGCTGGAGGTTCACCTTTGGTGGCCACATCACTTGGGACTTGTGAAAATGAAGGAATGCTTACATTTGGCAGGGACCAAAGAATCATGGTGCATAATTTCCATGAGCCTAAACGCTTCAGTGTTATTCTCAGAAGAAGGATTGTAGGCTGGGGAGGTGCTGAGCCTTGGCGTTCTGAGAAGCAAGCCTGGTGCCATCAGGAGCTGAGCTGGGTGCTCTACATCCAGATGCAGATATTACAAGACTTTGTCACCCCCCGCATCGTCCCTGGGATTGCAGCTCACAGTGAGGGCAGCTGGGAGGTCACAGGTGAGAGGGGCCTATGGGTCTCACCAGTGAAAGGCGACTGGAACCAGACTACGTAGGGCTCCCTGGAAAACGCGTCCGCATCTCCAGCCTCATAGTCATGGTAGAGGTAGTTTTTCTTCACAGTCACCAGCTTTTCCCTAGAGGAGAAAAAAATGAAGCCGTCCCAGTTGAGTCAGTAGTTTCCTTCTTTCAAGAAGCAGAACGTCAAGAAGACGTTCCCACAGTTTTGTAATCTTCCAGAGAGGCTCAACACTGGAGGGATCCTTTCCCTGAGAGAAAGCTGAGTGAGCACTTCTCAGCAGTCAGGGCCTCTGGGATTTGAGGATCTGAGCCATGCTGGTCACCCAGGGCACCCACAGGTCAATGATCAGACTTCAGTCACCAGTAGGAAGATGACGAGGATATGAAGGGCAGGAAATCAGTGGTGCTGGGCAATTCAGGTCCAGCCCTAGGCTGGAGCTTGATTATGAAGAGTAAAGAATGTACGCAGGAGCCACCAAGCCAACCAACAAATTAGGTGTCAGGAAGTTGCTCATGCACTCTAGTTTTGATGAGTTTATAGTTTGCCCAGTGTCTAGATTTTGACAGTAATTATTTTGACTGATTTTGAGCACTGGTTAGAGATCAGAATTGGATTTTGAAGAAAAGATGCCTGTTTTGATTCATTTCAAAATCAAAATATGTAAGTGGGCCTTGTTACAGGGAGTGTAGATTGTACTCACTTGTAGAGAAAGGCGTACTGTTCTTTATAGACGTTTCTTCCGAGCCGAGAGCTAATCACATAGTTGTATGTTATGCCTCTCCTTGAATTTCTAGAAAACATAAAGATTTCACAAGGCATATTAATAAGTGAACATTCCCCTACTGCTTCCCTCTCTCTAATCTGCCTCCGTATTCCCAATGGCATCGTGGGAAGGGCACTTGTTCATCACTTTGAATCCAGGAAGAAGGGCCACCATTGTCGGGCTGGGACACCTGCCAGAATCTTTGCAGTCTTTTTTGTTTGTTTGCTTTTTTTGCCATTATAAGGTAGGTGCCATTGTTACCCTCCTTTTTTCTTTTAAAATCTTGTGACCCGTGGACTTGAAATAATCTTTATTTTCTTAAAGATTTATTTATTTGAGAGGTAGAGTTACAGACAAAGAGAGGCACAGACAGAAAGGTCTTCCATCCACTGGTTACCTCCCCAAGTGGCCACAACAGCTGAGGCTGGGCCGATCTGAAGCCAGGAACCAGGAGCTTCTTACAGGTCTCCTATGCAGGTACAGGGGCCCAAGCACTTAAACCATTTTCTACTAATTTCCTAGGCCATAGCAGCGGCTGGATCCGAAGAGGAGCAGCCAGGATGCGAACCGGTGCCCATATGGGATGCTGGAGCCATAGCTGGAAGCTTAGCCTTCTGTGCCATGGTGCTGGGCCCCTCTTATCCCCTTTTATAGTTTAAAATGTGAATCTGGGATTTGAACCTGTATCTGACATATCCTCAAACCCTCATGGGAGACTGTTGAGACCACAGATGATTCAGGCTGCAAACAGAAACCCTACTCTGCCCACAGTGGAGCACACAGCCTTATCAGGTCACCTTGTCTGTGCACCACTCCTGAGCATCTATCAAATGCAGGGGCATTCTGTCTTCTGAATGCACCAAGTACTTTCCCACAAACCCTGGGGGACTACGATTTCCAGTCACTCTTGTTCATACCCTAGGGGCTAGAGATGCAGCTGTGAAGGCCGTTGGCTCCACCTCTCACCTACATTAGGGAAACTTGATTCTATGTGTTTGCCAGACCTGCTGCTAAGTCCACTCTGGGCAGAGTCTGACACAGTTCCATCCATCTGCCTACAGAAAGACCTAGGGCATGTTTAAAGCTGAAGTTCAGTCTCAGGTTCAGTTGGAAAAAAGCAGAGGGGATACTCAGGGACCCACTCAGAGTCTATGGAAATTTCTGGGATTTCGGATCTGTGCTCTAAGCCAGGCTAGAGCAGGGATATGGACAGTAAATGGGTGCTGGGCTTCCAGTTCGGGAAAGTTATCTTTGTTCTGCCCGCAAATTGCTTGCAGTGAGTCTGCTGCAAGGTGATTGAGGTTCCTTTTGGATTATGGGGGGAAAAGAGACAAACAGATTTGGCTCTGCCTAGAATCTGTGGCACAGTCTAGGCAGGTTGGGAAGCACTGAGACCACTGGTAATAGAAAGACTGATCCCAGACTGACTGTGGGAGACGCCTGGAGTGTGCCTGTCTCTGCCGTCACCCACACTCCTGAAAACTCGCAGGACCACTCTCAGGAAGGCTGAGAAGACATGAAATGAAGCATGTGCACTGGAGTTAGACATGATCCAAGTTCAAATAACAGGTGAGGTGGCTTTGAGCATGTCCCTCCTCTCTGTGCCTTGGCTCCCTCAGCTATAAGGGAAGCAGTAAGATTATCCAATCCACAGGGTTGTTGTGAGCAGTAAGGGGTATAGAAGAACTAAATGGATTAATAGCATGTCTGCCCCAGTAGTAGGTTATCAGTGGTAGCTGTTATGGGACAGTCTGGCATTGACATGTAATTGGTGAAGCCGCCTGAGGCATCTTATATCAGAGCACCGGTTTCAACTCGTAGCTACTCCACTTCTGATCCAGCTCCTTGCTAATGCCCCTAAGAAAGCAGCAGAAGATGGTCCAAGTGCTTGAGCTCCTACCACTGATATGGGAGACCAGGATGAAGTTCTGGGCTCCTGGCTTTAGTCTGGCCTTGCCACAGCTGTTGCATCCATTTGGAAAGTGAACCAGCAGATGGAAGATCTTTCTTCCTTTTCTGTCTCTTCTCTGTCACACTGCCCTTTAAATAATCCTTTTTTTTTTTTTTTTTTTTTTTTTTGTAATGGTAGCTGTTATATGTGACCCACAGACTATCAACTCCCTTTATAATCTTCTTGCTTTTACTAGTCATGGATTCCACTAGTTCTGTTCAAACACTTCCATGGAAGAATTTGACAATCATGGGGCTGGTGCTGTGGTGTAGCAGGTTAAGCCTCTACCTGCGGCGCTGGCATCCTATATGGGCACTGGTTTGAGTCCTTTCTGCTCCACTTCCAATCTAGCCAAGGGCCAAGGAAAGCAGTGGAAGATGACCCAAGTGCTTGGGCTCTTGTATCCACGTGGGAGACCTGAAAGAAGCTCCTGGCTTTGGGTCATGCCAGCTTTGGCCACTGTGGCCATTTGGGGAAGGAACTAGCAGATGGAAGACTGATTCTCTGTCTGTCTGTCTCTCTCTTCCTCTCTCTGTCTGTAACTCTGCCTCTCAAATAAATAAATACATCTTTAAAAAAAATTTGACCATCATAACAGATCAAGAAGAAAGGGTCTTCTGTTAGTCCCTTTTGCATATGGGGAAAATGAGGCACCAGGAAGTTCAGTAGCTTGACTGAGATCAGGATGCAAACCCAGGTGGTCTGAGCTCTGCTCCCTCTGTCCTCACCTTCCTAAGGTCAGCTCCAGAAACAGAATATCTGCTGAAGCTAAAAAGGATCATCTCAGCTCCACCCCTTACTGCAGATGAGAAGGGCGGGGCAGGCCCCAAAGGCCTTCTGTGTCCATGAGACCACTCACAGTGCCCCTCCCCAGGCCTCACAGTCTGGACCCTTCATTGCCAAAAGCAGCGTGATTTCCCCTGGTTCAAAGTTCCCAGGACCACAGCTGAGAGCACTGGAAGCCTGGCCAGATCTGGCCACGTGATCTGGTAGTCAGGGTGAAATGCTGGCTGGCTGTCAAGTTTCAGTCTCTCAGGAGGCTTTCCAGCTGACCGTGCACTTGGGGTCTGCCAGCTGCACCACCCACACACACACTTACCCATTCAGCTTCTCCATCAGCGTGGGGCAGATCATGTTGTTGCTGTCCTTGATTTCCATCAGGAGTATGATGTCGCAGCGTTTGATGATCTGCAGAGGGAGAATCCCCAGGAGTTGGAGGCCGTTTGCCACAAGCAACAAAACGTTTTGTTGTGTACTTACTGTGTTTTAGTTTTGCCTGGGTGCTTGTTAAAATAACTTAGTTTCTTCGCTGAATTAAATCAAGGACTCTGAGATAGGTGCTTTTTTTATGTCCATTTTAAAGATGAGGTGCCTGAGGCTCACGCAAAGTTGACTAGTCACTCAGTTACCTACCTAGAAAGTGGCCATGGCAGAGACAGCTGTTTAGCACAGAGGGTAAGATGCTGCTTCAGACGCCTGTGTCGCATTTTAGAGTGCCTGAGCTTGAGTCTGGCTCCACATCTGATTCCAGTTTCCCACTGTTGCACACCCTGGGAGGCAGCAGGTGATGGGTCAAGTCCTGGGTTCCTGTCACCCACATGGGACAATGGGATGGAGTTCCAGGCTTCTGGCTTTGGCCTGGCCCAGCCCCAGCTCTTGCAGGCTTTTGAGAAATGAACCAGCAGATAGAAGAGTTCTTTCTTTCCCTCCACCCCTCTGTCTCTCAAATAAGTAAATTTTTTAAAACGATGGAATTTGAACCCAGGGAATCCAACTCCATGATCTTGACCCTCAGTACATCCTGCCTCTCACATTGCTATCCTTGGGTTTCTTAATATATTCATAAAAGCAGAATACAAAAATGATGGTGCATGGTGGTCAACATGCTGCAAAACAGATGCAGATCTGTGTATTTATTTTTGTGAAGAAAAATGCCTTTAAGGAAATCACCCAAATGTCAAGAGCTTTATCTTTTTAATTTTTATTTATTTATTTTTATGTGAATGGTAGAGAGACACAGAGACAGCCCTTACCCATTGGTTCATTCCTCAAATGCTCACAAGAGCTGGGGCTGGGGCAGGGCCAAGCTGGGAGCTGGGAATTCAATCCAGGTCTTCTATAAGTGACAGGAACTCGATTACTTTTTTTTTTTTTTTTTTTTTGACAGGCAGAGTGGACAGTGAGAGAGAGAGAGAGAGAGAGAGAGAGAGAGACAGAGAAAAGTCTTCCTTTTCCGTTGGTTCATCCCCTAGTGGCCGCTGCAGCTGGCGAGCTGCAGCCGGCGCACTGCGCTGATCTGAAGCCAGGAGCCAGGTGCTTCTCCTGGTCTCCCATGCGGGTGCAGGGCCCAAGCACTTGGGCCATCCTCCACTGCCTTCCCGGGCCACAGCAGAGAGCTGGATCGGAAGAGGAGCAGCTGGGACTAGAACTGGCGCCCATATGGGATGTCGGCACTTCAGGCCAGGGCTTTAACCTGCTGCGCCACAGCACCGGCCCCAGGAACTTGATTACTTAAGCCATCACTGCTGCCTCCGGGATCTGAACTGGCAGAAAGCTGGCACTGGGAGCGGGAGCTGGGACTCAAACCTCAGTAGTCCAGCGTGGGATGTGGACATCTCCCCTGGCATCTTAACTGCCAGCCTAATGCCCACTCCAGCAGCTGTGATCCTTGAATGACAGGATAATGTGTGATTTTTCTCTTCCTTGTATGTTTCTGTTACTTCCAAAAAAAGAGCATAACTATATTTAATCAAGTTATTACATAGTTTATAAATAAATTCTTAATTTTTAAAAGTTGTACTTTACTATGTCATAGTGGGTAAAGCCACCGCCTCCAGTGCCCGCATATGGGCGCTGGTTTGAGTCTCAGCTGTTCCACTTCTGATCCAGCTCTCTGCTGTGGCCTGGGAAAGCAGTAGAAGATGGCCCAAGTCCTTGGGCCCCTGCACCCACGTGGGAGACCAAAAAGAAGCTCCTGGCTCCTGCTTCAGATTGGTTAATCTCCGGCCACTGCGGCCATCTGGGGAGTGAACCAGTGGATGGAAGACTTCTCACTCTGCCTTTGCCTCTGTCTCTCTATAACTCTGCCTTTCAAATGAATAAATAAATCTTTTTTTAAAAAGTTATACTTTTATAATTTCTAAAAATTGACATGTTGCTTTAACAAAATTGCTTGATGAGGAAGGAATTTTGGAGGAGTAGATTATGGGCAGACTTTATTAGAAATGACAGGTGCATTTTTCACATTAAGCATAAGATAAGTGACCTTTCGTAGGCTAGTGTGCCTAATAAAGCACCCACACATTAGGGGGGCTTTGTAAGTGTCCTCTTGAGATGCCCATTGTATAGCTGTGTACTCTGAGGCTCGGTGAGGTTTAGTAATTTGAACTCCAAGGAGAAATGGGATCATTGGGCATCTGCACTAGAGTCCCTGCTTGACCCCTCCACTCCACAGCCGAGGAAATCAGCCTGTCCTTGTGACTGCACCTTCGCAAAGAACAAGGTCCCTTTTTGGAGTGGGATCCATCCATCCACAGTGAATGCGGACCGTGAGTTCTGTCTCCTTTTGCTGAGTAGAGGCTTTAGCCTCCAGGCGTCCTGTTGACAACCCCTTTCCTTTGCAAGCACTTCCTAGCTCCGTATCTACAGCAGATGCAGATTTCTGCTTCCTGTGGCACCTCTGAGAATGTTTCCTGTTGATGGGAATCTACACTGTGGTGGACAATAGTTCAAGATCTCATTAGCAGAATTCTCCTGAATGGGGGTGGGATTTTTGACTGTTAATCTTCACCCATCCATTGTTCCACCCATCTGTGCATCCACTGGTTCATCCATCCAACAAGATTTTATCATGAACGCACAGGGTGCCAGACAGCATTCTGGACCTCGGTATGGTTGTGATTCTATATCCAGCTCCTGACTCAACATCTGGCATGAGTAAAAGGAAGAGAGTGGCAGGTAGGAAAGAAGGGAGGGAGGACGGACCATAATGGAACCAGATGTGCCCGATTCATGAAGCACAAATACCTTCCTATTTTAGATCTTCCTTGTGGCACTGTGAGAAAAAATGGGAGTAAATTTTCTATTCAACCCATAAATATTTGTAATATTTTTTAGAATATAAGTCTATTCATTATAGAAAATCTGGACCATGCAGGAGAGACAGACGGCTACAGAAGCCACAGATGCCCCATTAGCCCAGCACTCAGACCCTTTTCCAGACGATTTCTATATCTACTTACAAAATTGGCATCACAGCAATTAGGCCATGCCTCTGAGGTAGGGACTTGGAGCCAAATGGCCTTGGGTTTGTGTCTTAACTCTGTCATTCATGAGCTGTGTGACCTGGAGGAGTCACTTAAGCCCCTGAATGGGGTCATCATGAGAGTTAAGTGACACGATGGATATAAAAGGCTCAGCCCAGTCCCTGGCACACAGCAGGGCGTCAGGAAACACTGGTGATGTTTGTCCTGTATCTTGCTTCTCCGGCCACACAGACTGTGAGCATTTCTCCCTGTCAGTAACTACCCAGTTTTCCTTGCCTGAACTCTGGGCCAGTGGACCAGGAGAAATACATTTCCCTGGGCTCTACCTCCTCTTCTCCATCTCAGGAGGAGGTGACAAAGGTGAGGGCCCTGAGTGCGGGGACTTCTCTGACTTAGCCCTGACTCTGGTCCCAGGAAGGGAGGGAGAGTGTGAGGGGCTGGTGCTGAGGGACTCCCAGCAAAGCGAGTCAGGAGAGGACCTGGAGAGAGGGAAGGGACAGTCTCAAGAGTGAGGACAGGTGCACAGGGTGGCAGGGGGGAGCCTGGGTTCCAGTTCTCTGTCATTTGCTTTTCCACACTCTGGCCAGCTTATTTCATCTGTCGGCTCCAGTGCTTTATCTGTAAAGTGGGCCTAGGAATCAGAGCATTTGGGAAGCTGAGCTGGGGTCCTGCTGAGGAGATGCACTCCTGCGATGCTCATTACCGTGTGCCGACGCTCCCTCCGTGCCACCCTCACATCTCCCGGTGCCTTGGCGTGCCTGAAACATGGCTTTCTTCCTGACTATCTGTCGACTGTCAGGTTCTCTACAATCCAGAGAGCACTCGGATAGAGGGAAACTCGCATGAGCAGGGTTTGGCTTCTGGACCGCTGCCTGTGGTATGGGTGAGCAAACCGAGACGAAGTCAGGCTCCCTGACACTCACCTCCCAGTGAAGGTCAGAACGCCGACAGCCTAGTGATGCTGAACCTGCCCCTCCCCCTCCAGCGCTAAACCCAGCCTGGAGGAGTGGGAAAGACCTCTCAGTCTATGTCACCTGGTGTTACTGACCCTGCAAACTCACATCACCATTCTGGACCTCGGGGCTCTCAGTTCTGAAGTGGCACAGTGCCACCAGGCCATAATATTAAATAAGAATGCAATACTAGAGGGGGTGGGTGCTTAGCCTAGCAGTGAAGTTGCTAGTTAGGGTGCTGTGTCCCACATCAGAGTGCTCAGGCTCCCGACTCCAACTTCCTGCTAAGCAGACCCTGGCAGACAGTGATTATGGCTCAAGTAATTGCTACTGTGGGCATTTGGGGAGTGAGTCAGTAGATGGGAGTGGGAGCGCGCTCCCTCTCTAAAACAAATACATTTTAAAAAATATATAAAATTCCTGGCCTGTAATAGGCACTCAGTCTATGGGCCTGGGAAGCAAAGCTTTGTTGCTGTCTGGCGTTTTGCTTTCACAGGGGGTGCTCTGTTGAGCAGCTGTGGCAGTGTCCGGAGGTGGCCTCTGCTTACAGAATGACTGCTGGAATGGGAGGAGTTGGCGGTCCGACAAGGGCTTCAGATGAGCGTGGTGTGCTCAGAGCAGACCCTGAGTGTAGCCCACACCCACACCTCCACAGAACAAAAAGACAGCCCCTTAACACAGTGGTGTTGTTCCCAGTTGGGTACGCAAGGAAGGTAGCAGGAACTCGGTAGGTACCAAGATCCTGGGGCCGTGCGTGAAAAAGTGGGGGAAGATAGATTCCTTGCATGTCAGTTTCCCTTGGAGCCAGAGCACCATGCTTCCTACAGACTTGGCATGGCTGTCCTGGTTACACAGCCACATTTTGGAAGGTCATGGGTGCCATCCAAAGGGCAGGACTGTGAGGAACAGAGCGTGCGGGTCCCACCAGTCTCCTTTGCTGATTATCATCTGAGCACTTGCCGTGCCCCGGCTCTGCCAGAACCTTCCCCACCTAGAGTTGTCTCAGCCAGGGCTCCAGGTAGGGCAAGCCTCAGGCTACTCAACGGAACTGGAGGCTCGGAGAGGTGCAGGCATTCCCTGGGCCCTGTGGCTGGCAGGTGAGATCTGAATGCAGGGCTCCTGGCATTCCCACCCCACCTGTGGCTGGGAGGTGAGAAATGAAAACAGGGCTCACATTCACACACTGGGAGGCCTCTGCCGTCTGCTTAGGCAATGGTGCCCTGCCAGAGTCCTAGCACAGGTTTCAGTTCCCAGCCTCTGTATGGTAGAGTCAGGTGGCTCCACGGAAAGCTGAGCTGTGTCCCCAAACATCAGTCATACTCCCCAGGGCCGGCATTCAGTAAGTATGCAGAAAGAGGGCTGGGTGGGGGAAGGGGGCAGTGGTAGAAAGAAGGGGAGAGGGAGGGAGAGAGAAACCAGACAGGGAAGGAAGGAAGGAAAGAGGAGAGCGAGAAGTTGTGTGAAGGTGATGGGTGAGACATCTGGGCCAGTGCCACAGACGCCCACCTGCCCTGCCACCAGCTCTACCAGGTTACTTTGCCGTTTTTCATTCATCGTCTCTACCTGGGGGAGGAATCCTCACAGGACGGTGAAATGAAACCCTGCTTTATAAAGCCTGACAAGCAGTGGCACTGAAAGCCGTTGCCACAGCCAGCTCCTGCCTGGAGCTCACTGTAACCAGACGCAGCTCAGCATTCACCAACTCAGCAGACCCCCCAGCAGTGCCTTGGGCCTGACTGTCACCCCCCCGGAGACGACTTGAGGACAGGAGGCACAGAGGGGTGACGTAGTGATTGTCCCCCTCGCTGTTCTAGTTGCTCCCAGATTCCAAGCCGGCTGTTACCTTCAGGGCCAGTTGCAGTTTCTCCCACGTCTCAGCTGTGAAGACAGGAGAGAGGGCAGGAGGGGTGTGGAGGACCTGCCGCCAGAAAAGGGTACTCACCTTGACAATGACATCCATGGCCTGGCGGTTTTCCCGCTTGCTGTACCCGAAGGACCTGACGTTGAAGGAACAGAGCTTCAGGGCCAGGGCGCCGTGTAGACAGAGGAGCAGAAGCAGCAGGGAGGCTGGGCTCATCCCGAGCGACATCCTGGCGCTCTTGTGGCCTCCGCTGTGCTGTGCACTGACTTATGAAGCCTGCAGATAACAGGAATGACGGGATTCCTCCCTGCTACTTTCACTTCTCTGAGGAACTGGAGATCCTGCATTTGCGCTCCAGGAGACGAGACACGGGGGGCCAGCCTGTGAGGAGCCCCTGTTTTTGTCATCCTGGTGGGGAAACTGGCATGCCTCAGTGAGGCACTGACCTCCTGCAATCACACCCCAACCAGGGCCAGCTCTGACCTGTGCCATGTCTCCAGGCTTGCATGCCACATACCTTTTCCTGACAGCTGATGAATTCGGAAGTGTCCACCCCAGAGGGCACTGAGGGTGACAGAGCTTTCTGCCAGGGGAAAAGTGAGGCAGGGGCACTGGGAAATCCTGCGAATTTTCTCTAAATCTCTGGGACTTGGCAACCAGCTGTCCCGGGCCACACCCGGACACCGACTCTCTGACGCCCTGATGGGCGTAATTAAGGGCAAGTTTAGTTTGAATTACATGATTTCTTAGGCAGTTTGGTCGTACCAATTTAACACATGAAGCCCCAGCAGTGTGTTGCTCTGGAGACAGTGACAGTTGGTGTCCTGGAATGGTCCGGTGAAATGTCCTTGGAGTTCAAGGGCAGATTGCCAGTTCAAGCCCCTGTAGAGATCCACAATTCAAGTGGTTATTATTTTAATGCTGTAGTAGTTGTGTGACCCCCTGGGTAAAGAAAGTCCAAGGAAAATGACTTAGAGATTTGGGTAGAAAGATCTGAAAAGCAAAAGAAATGCAAAATCCAATCAAGTTAGACATGCAGACTTTGGCAAAAATAAATGTGTGAGGAGAGGGTAGAGAATAACTTGAAGTCAGCATTGAGACCTCTGGGCCACTGCTGCCTGAGGCAGTGTGTCTGTGGCCATCCCCACAGGGAGAAGAACACGTGCATCAGCACACATCAGTCCACAGGCCATCGGAGCTGACCATAGGTTCTGAGATAATCCAAGAAGAAGTGTTGGAGGGAAATTGTCATTTCCTGAGCTCCTGGTGCAGTGAATCTCCCTGCTGTCTGCAACCTCAGACCTCAGGCCAGGTGGGCTCTCTGGGAAGAAGCTGCCCTGGTTAGCAGGTGGTTAACTGTGTTCCCTGGTGGGTGGGTAAATGCAGAAATGCTTAAGACATCCAGAGCCATGGGTCACGTGATTTGTATTTCAAGACAAAATGCGGGTAGTAGCCCTTCACATATGTGGAATTCTGTGAGCTCGTGCCATCTGAGAGAGAGAATCAGAACATAAGTTGACAGTCTTCTTACTCCAACGTCAAGTTTACAACTGGGGGGTTTGTCTTAGGTGCCTTACTTTAAGTTGGCATACAGTTTTGGAACTTTTATAAAGATTTTGTGTTGGCAGTGCTGTATAAGCTTAATTTACTAGACTTGGAATTATTTAGTGTAAAAAAGGTGACTTTTTTGTTCAGATAATTTTTTAAAGATTTATTTATTTATTTATTTGAAAGTCAGTTACACAGAGAGAGAAATGGGGGGGAGGGAGGTGTCTTCCATCCACTGGTTCATTCCCCAGATGGCCGTGGTGGCCGGAGCTGCGCTGATCCGAAGCCAGGAGTCAGGAGCTTCTTCCTGGTCTCCCACATAGTGCAGGGGCCCAAGGACTTGAGTCATCTTCTACTGCATTCCCAGGCCACAGCAGAGAGCTGGATTGGAAGTGGAGCAGCTGGGATGTTGGCACTGCAGGTGGCGGCTTTGCCCACTACGCCACAGCCCCGGCCCCCAGTTCAGGTAATTTAAAGAACTTTAATAGGCTATATGAAATTTGTAAAAGCAGTTTAAAATGTTTATAAATGAGTCCCAGATGCCTTTAGATTATTTTAGTTGTCTGGATTTAGGGTTTCCAGATGTAGCAAATCAAAATACAGAGTTGTAGATAGGTCTGAATTTTAGATAATTCAAATGTAATTGGACAATCTGTATTTTACCTGGAAATCTTGGGTGAGTTACTTTAGGAAGAAGAACTTTTGGAAGATGAACTTAAGAGTGTGACATTTTCTAAGGTAACACTCACCCCATCAGAGTCCTGTGAACCTTTTAGTTCCTGATACCAAAAAGTAGGATATCCTGGGGCTAAGGTTGTGTGGTGTAGCTGGTTGAGCCTTGGTCTGTGACTCTGGCATCCCATATACAAGCACCAGTTCTAGTTCTACCTTCTCTGCTTCTGATCCATCTTCCTGCTAATGTGGCTGGGAAGGCAGCAGAAGATGGCCCAAGTCCTTGGGCTCCTGCCACCCATGTGGAAGACCAGACTTGAGTTCCTGGTTGCTGGCTTTGACCTAGTCCAGACCCAGCCACTGGGGCCATTTGGGTACAGAACCAACAGATGGAAGAGCTCTCGCTCGCTCTCCCCTCTGTCACTGTGCCTTTCAAATAAGTAAAATGAATCTTTTAAAAAAATAAAGTAACATAGGATAAAGAGAGTTAGCTGATACTTATTTGAATTTTGATAGTTCCACTATTGATTTGAAAAATAAAGCAGACCTGTCAGTAGTGGTTTCTCTATATATAGGAACTGACTTTGAAGACTTAGAATAATTTCTAAGAAGACATAGACTCTGTTCTATAATTAACTTATTCATGATATGAAGTTGGGCTTAAAACAAAAAATAAGTGCCTGAGATCCTGTAGGGAAATCCTGAGTCAAATGTAACCGAATCCAACTCAGTGCTTTCTGTTTCACTCAAGACTCCCCAGGGTACTGGCGATGGTTCCTTCATTTCAGAGATGAACAAACCCAGGTTTGTGACCCAGGGTGCTGAGCAGATGTGAGGCAGAGCTGGGATTCAAACCCTGCACCTCCTCACATGGAGAACTAGGCAGGGAAATACCACTGGGCAGGACTGTAGACATTTGTATACTGTTGGATTTTTTTTTTTTTAACAAAATCATCCTTCTTAGTAATTTTTTTAAAAAAATATCAGTTTATTTTTTTGAAAGGCAGAGTTCCACAGAGAGAGGAGAGGCAGAGAGAGGCAGACAGGTCTTCCATCTGCTGGCTCACTCCCCAATTGGCTGCAATGGCCGGAGCTGAGCCAATCCAAAGCCAGGAGCCAGGAGCTTCTTCCAGGTCTCCCATGTGGGTGCAGGGACCCAAGGACTTGGGCTGTCTTCTGCATTCCCAGGCCATAGCAGGGAGCTGGATTGGAAGTGGAACAGCCAGGACTTGAACCGGTGGCCGTATGCGATGCTGGCACTGCAGGTGGCGACTTTACCTGCTATGCCACAGCACCGGCATCCCTTCTTAGTAATTAAAACGGTAACAGAAAACCCTAAAAAGTCATGAAAGCAGTTAACCAGTGCCTAAGCTAGCAGGTGTTTTATTTTCTGAGCAGCTGTGTCCCAGCAAGCTTCCCCCACCCTTGGGAATCACTGATAAGGGGGAGGGATCTGGTGCACAAGGCCCTCCTGGAGGGCCCAGAGAGGCAGAAACCCTCCTTCTCCTCCTTCAGTTGGGCCATCGCTGGGAGTTTTGAGACAGCCCCTCTAAGGAGCCCAGAGACCAGCAGCCAGAGTGGACACTGGCGGGACCTGCTGTCCACTCCTAGGTGTCCTTTCTTCGGTCATTCGGTGGCTGTGGGTGAATTCCCTGTGCCGTGAACTTCCCAACACTGATCTGCCTGCAAAAAAAGGTAATTATCAGTTCTTGATATTTAATATGCTTATTAGTATATTAATTGTTCTGAAAAACCCTGTGTTGTTTTTAAAGCTACTGGACTGTGCTGAAATAGGGTATCCTGAATTTATTATCCCAGGAACCCTTTTCTTCAACGGATTCCTTTGATTGTCTTGAGCAAAAGCCACCTTGGGAAATCCTGTCCCTGACTGTGTGGGGATAATCAGATCCCCCCTAAGCCTCAAGCTCTTGTCCCCGTGGATCTGTCCCAGACATGTCACACGAGTGGGCGGAGGAGAGAATCAGGCAATCGCACAGCAGCAGCAGCCACAGCCTCTCACATGGGTCCAGGTGGGGCAGGTGAGATGTGTCAGAATTTGGGGACTACCTTGGGACAAGGGGGTCCTTGGCTTCTGAAGAAGGCAAAATGGAGGTTGTAGGAGGAGCAAAAGCATCACAGGCTGAGTCACCCAGAAGGTGCCAGGAGAAACAAGAAACGTGCAGGAAAGTCCCCACTACAGGCCGGGGTTGGGCGGCGTGGCCCAAGCAGGTGTTTCCAGCTGCCAGAGCTGCTCTTTGTGTAAGGATGAGCAGGCACCAGCGATCTCCGCGTGACTGACACACACGGCTTCGGCGTCACATTCCACAAGCAACTCTGGGCGAGGACGGTGCGTCATCACCGGGTGTGTGGTTGTGACAGCTCTGGCCCTTGTAGGCTTCGGGTTTCAGCTTCACACCGCATCTTCCACCCAGGACTTGTGCCCGGGTCTCAGGACGGTCCCTTCCTGGACAGTGTCACTGCTCTAAAACCCTTCAAAGGTTCTTTATTTGACACAAGGACCGGACTCCTTGTTGGGCCGTAGCTATTTCTCTCCTGTCCCACAGCTCTGCCCTCACCCTGTCCTGCTTTCAGCTACCCCCCAGGGCCTTTGCACAGCGGCTCCCTCCTGCAGTGCCCCTCCTTCCTCCCACCTCCGGGTCTCAGTTTCAAAATCACTCCTGCAGAGAAGCCTTGCTGGTTCCCCTCAACCCATCACCAGCCTCCCTCTAATTCTCTTTCTTTTTCTTTTTTTTTTTTTTTTGACAGGCAGAGTGGACAGTGAGAGAGAGGGACAGAGAGAAAGGTCTTCCTTTGCCGTTGGTTCACCCTCCAATGGCCGCCGCGGCCGGCGCGCTGCGGCCGGCGCACCGCGCTGATCCGATGGCAGGAGCCAGGAGCCAGGTGCTTTTCCTGGTCTCCCATGGGGTGCAGGGCCCAAGCACCTGGGCCATCCTCCACTGCACTCCCTGGCCACAGCAGAGAGCTGGCCTGGAAGAGGGGCAACCGGGACAGAATCCGGCGCCCCGACCGGGACTAGAACCCGG